TACTTGGAATTCTCTTGGGCTCCAGCAACTGCTTAGAAGCTTCTGTAAGAGGAAGAGCCTCCTTGAATTGGGTTCAGAAGCAAAGAAGATGCTCAAGCTTTTTCTAAACATCCTGCCTGTGTGTGTATGTATGTGTGTGTATGTGTGTTTGTGTGTGTATCTTTCTGCTGAAATTTAGGCTCTGGAATTCATGATTTTTGTCTTCACTTCTCTCCCCCAGTGTCCTGCACAGCACATGCAAAGGGATGTGTGTGTGTGCACACTATTTAAAGTGCCCAAGTTAATTTACTGGCATGCAAGAGAATCTCAAGGCACAAGCAATATACTTTGTATAGACACATGCACACATGTATAGGAAGAAAGCCAGAGGTCTCTCCTTCCTAAGCCAGCTTAAAGGAGTGATCCCTCACTTCCAGGCCCTGGGCTCAGGGTAATTGCTTAATAAATGTTTATTCTTTGCAATAACTCTGTCCTGGTGTGTGAGTTCACCCTGACCTCTTGCCTCAGTCCAAATCTGCTCTTCCTTGATCTCAGCTGTATTTGTTCTTAAGCAAGAAGGGAGCTTATGTTTGTTCCTGTGTCCCCAGAGCTCCTGGCATTTTGCAGTATCTGGGGAATCCCACAGCCCCACTGTCATGTGACCTTTGAGGAAACACAGAGCAGTAGACAGAGCAGGGACTGTGGTATCAGCCAGGTGTTACTAAATCCCACCTGTGTCACTTAATGGCTGTGTGACTCAGAGCTGGTTACTTAAGGTCTCTGAGTTTCTGCTGATTAATTTGAAAATGGAGCTCTCAGTAGTCACCTCATAGAGTAGTTTGGAAGGTTTAAACAACAAATAGACTTTCTGTGGAGTGCCTGGAGCACAGGAAGTGCACAGTTCTTTTTAGTAACCTGCCTGGAGTAGCCATTGCCTGCTCCAGCCCACAGACTTACTCTCCTGGCCACCAGACTTTTGCTCAGATCCTCTCTCTCTCTTAAAAAGTCTCTGTTATCTTTCTCAGATTGGCCGCTGTAAGCAGCATTCTCCCTGTGTTGCTAATCACACCTCCCTCCTCTCAATATTTTCTAAATCCAGCTGTTTATTTTTTAAGCTTTAACTTTATTCACAACCAAGCCTCACTCTCCAGACTGTTAGCCTTCTCTCCTGCATTACCATAAAAAATAAGACTGTCCCAATAACCCTCATCAATTCATGAATTCAGTCATTCATTCAACTACCCTCCTGTGGATACTCTGTATTGATACCAACTTTTTCAGTAGGATCATGAAAAAGGAAAGAAGACAAGGCACAAAAATGAGAAAGACAAACCACTATTTTCTAGGAGCCCAGAGTCTAGCATGCACACTGCATCGTCAGGTGACTGTTGTATCTGTCACTGTGATGTGATGGTTAGATCTTGAAAGAAACTCAAAGTCAATATTCCTCCTTCCTTTTTACATTAGCATAACAAAAAAGACCACTGTCCTGTTCATTCCTGTTCCAGGAGATTTTCTGGGACAGGGTAGCTTTTTGCTACTGAAAGCTGCAAGGTCGAACAACTCTATTAAATTTTCTGAAATTCAGTTTTCCCATCTCTACAAGTGGGAATACTGTAATAATCAGTATCTCACAGGCTTTTTCTGAAAATTAAATGAGAGGAAATAAGCATCCAGCATCATTCGGGGAATACAGTAGGCACTCAATAAAGTTTGTGTCTCTCCCTGCTTTGCTTAATTAGCAAAGGAAGGAAAAAAGAAAAACAACTCCCTTTCTCCAATCGCCATGAAGAAGGGTGTGTTTCCCACTCTTCTCTTCTTGATCTGAGACTGGGATCGGTCTCAACCAGGACACTGATGTATTCGCTTCCTCCCATTGCCTCAAGCACCTTCCTTAAATCACATTTCTGAGCAGGATATTTACAAGCCTGCATGGAACTCAAGGATCTGTTGTCTGAAGGGTCTCACAAGTAACTGACAAAAGGAGATTTATTTGACATAACAAAGCCATCTGCCAAATCCATCATTAAATGGCAAAGACTCCGGGTCTCTTGTGCTTAGAGAAGGAAGGGCGGTCTGTTTGCAGTGAAACATTGAATGGAGCTGCCAGGCTGGGGGGTGAAGGAAGGGGAAAGACATTGCCATTAGTGTGTTTCCTTCCCTGATTCATAATACACTACCACCCTCATTTCCATGGGCTCTTAGAAGGTTATTTATATTCTGATCACAGGCTATTCAAATATTGCATTTGTATCTCATTACAGGGTTGTTTTTAAAGCTCATTTTTTTCCAAGAGGGGATTCTGGTTTAGGGAGAAAGAAATGGGCAGCAGTCAGGACCTCTGGGCACAACAGGACTGAGCAGGTAGAGACCAAAATGAGAAATGGTGCCTCAGAAACAGGAACCACTGACCCTTGTGGGTCTGTTAGGGTAAACTAAGCAGAAGCAAAAAGAAAGAGACATATCTTTCACCAGGTAATTGAAAACAGCAACTCCTGGTAGATGGTACAACAGCTTTAGGAAACCAGTACAACCCACCATCTGTCCCTGAACTCCTTCCCCCAGGCAAGACCCCTAGACGATCTGTTGTACTACAGACACTGGGGAAAAAATTAAACACATGTACAAATTGGTGTTTTAGGGAGAAATAACCTGAGATCTATGACTGGACTGAGTAAGTGCATTTTCATAGAATAGGTAGATCTTCCACATAGGGGCCCTAGATATGATGTGAGAATTTATGAAGGAGCTCAGCTTAGAAGTACAGCATTGGACTCAATAAGTATGAACTGTGCTATCTCTAAAGTCACGTAGGTGCTTCCCTGGCTTAATCCAGGAAATTTTCTCCTAGCCTCCTCACTATTCCCATCTCTTTTCTGTGTCCCTCTGGGAATATAATGAAAAACAAACAAGAAACAAACACTGGATAAAGAGTTGAGAAACCCATGTTAGAGATTTGGCTTTGCCACTAACGAGCTGGATGACCCCAGGCCAATTGCTCTGGGAGGTCTCCTCTGACCCATTGCTTCATCCAGGGAGACTGGATCATCTCCTTCCTTCTGTTGCCAGGGTGGTCATACTTGGAGAATTTCACTATATTGCAATGACTTGCTTACATGTTGTTTTCTCCGCCATTCATGAGTTCTTTGAAGGTAGTAACCTTATTTTTCTATTAGATGGTAAACTTCAGGAAAGCAAAGACCATGGCCGTTCTTGGGTACCTTTCAATCCCCCATCTCCAGCACAGCCCTGGCACATAGCTGACATTCAATGCCTTGGACCAGCTTCCCCCTCAGCCCAACATGGTCTTGGCCCAAGTATTTCTATGACTGCTCTTCCCTCTAATGCCTCTTCAGCAAGGCTTCCCTGACTATCCTATCTTAAGTAGCCTCCCAGGTACTCTCCAACTCTTCATCAGATCACCCTTTTCACCCCTTTGTAGCATTTGTCATCATCTGGCATTGTCTTATCTGTTCACCTGTTTCTTGTTTACTTTCTGTTCCCCTTGGATAGTAAACTACATGAGGGCAGGGAGCTTATCAGTTTTGCTCATTATTTTATCTCCAGCATTTAGAAAAATGTCTGGTTCACAAATATGCACTAAATGAATGAATCTCTTAACTGAGGAGCTTACTAAAGGCTCAGGTAGTTCCAATTCAAACTCTACTAGTCTCTAATCTCTGAGTTTAGGCAAAGGTAAAGTGGTTCCTGTTCACAGAATAATTGAGAAACGCCTGACTCCACAAATGCCTAAAGGCGAGTGTCTTTAGAGAGACCACAATGACTTGTTGCCATGCTTTACGTGCTGGAAATACTCCGGCAGCCACTTACCGCCAAGGTCCTCCTTGCTCAGTTGACGATAGCAGCACTCCTGTACAGTCTTATGTTTTAGAAACACATAACTAATGCGTATAAGAAATTTTATCTGCACATCATAATTGTATGTTATTGTCATTATCTATCTTATTATCTTTATTGTTCTACTCTCGCCTGGTTTTTTGAGAGAGCAATATTATAGGGGGACGCTTAGATACAGAGTCAGCGGCAACAATACAATGAAGTTGGATAGAATCTGATTTGAACTATTATGGAAATGTCAGCCTAATATAATTTCGGCAGATCTGAATCACTTCTTATCCTAAGTATTCAAATAAATGAGTTGTCACTATATTTCAGGAAGTAAAGCCTGTGTATACACTGTTTCCAAATTTGTAGTCATAAAAACCCTGGAGGAGGTAACCAAGCACCACTTATGTCACATTGAGTTTCCAAATCCAGAGTTCAACACAAAGTAAAACATACAAATATGACGCAACACATATTTATTCAAGCGTATGAGAACTTGTTAAAAGAACATGCTGAGGAATTATGGAAAGAAGTCATTAGATGCCCCCAAAAAGTAGCTAAATGAAATGAATAAATGAATGAATGAATGAATGAACAAAAACATAATATAAATTTGGTTAAAAGTTGAAAATCAACAGCTTTGAATAGAAAAAATAAAATAAAAGACGGAACTATCAGTATGATTGAAGCAAATCTAATTCCTATTTAAAAGAGTCTGGAAAACTGAGTCTAGTATCTGTAGACTCCAGAATATAATTTTTTTACCTGTTAAAAAATTGACTTATCAAGAAGCAAAATTCAGACCTCAGACCCACTGTCTTTAGATTTCGTGTAAATCTTATGTAGCAATGTGGTTCAAATCAGTCTAACTCATTTTTTAAATTACTTCCTGGAAGCAAATTATCTGGGTTAGTGTAAGCTGTGGCCTCCTTGAATTTCTTTCCATACGACAAAATGTATGCGTTGATTACAAACTGTCTTTTGCTCTTTGGCAACGTAATTATCAAAGCTCTTAAACAAGCTGCAAAAGAGGTATTAACTGCTGAGAAGCTCAGTAGAAACTGTCATGCAAATTGGAAGGTTGGTCACATATTGGTGTTCAGTGCAGACTGGTGAGACATTGAAATGGGTTCCCAATGAGCAAGAGAGCAATCAGAACGATATTTATTTTCCAGGCCTTTCAAGTCACAATGTGGAAACCAAGCATTTTTCAGACGACTGCATGTTAAAATGCACCTTACGGATATTTACCCTACTGAGGACAAGTTTTGCTCTCATTTACAATCCAGGCCAAAAGATAGCACTTTGAAGGTATGGGCCACAGAAATGACTCTTTCACCACATAAAATCTAAATAAAATCTGTTTCCTCTGACCCAGTGGTAGAAATTTGGAGGCCTCCTCCTCTCCTTAAGGTCACTCTGCTTTGTTTAATGGCACAGGGTTAAAAACACAAACTCTGAAGTCCCACTCTCTCCATTCAAAGCCACACTACAAGCTTACTAGTTGCAAGACCTTGATTACTTACTTAACTTCTGTGTCTCAGATGTTCCATTTAACGGGTGATGACAGTACCTACCACAGAGGCTTGCTGTGGGTCGTAAATGAAATAATGGTGTCTGGCACCCAAAACACTCCCAATAAAGATACATAGAGTATTATTCATTCCTTCTTGGTGCTTCCATGATTAGCGTGTTTTGGTCACAAGCTGAGTTGAACACTACTTTCAGAAGGATGCAAAATCTGAGTTTAGAAAAGATAATGCTACCGAAATTATTATGCAATATTACTCCAGGACTCCTGGAGATTAACAGCAATTCTAAGCTGTTAGAGATCTCAGAGGTCTTTTGCTCCAACTCTCTGCTTGTGTGGGTGGCATAACTGGGCCCCAGGTCCTGCTGAGCCAGCGAGTGTTCTCACACAGGCATAGTAAAGCAGCAATAATGCTTTGTTGTCTTGACTCATTTTTTAAACATAGAGTTTCGGAATAAAGTAGTGGGAGCAGTTGTTTCCTATTCTTCTTCAACTAGGAGAAGAGATTTTTGAAAAAATTAGCACCTTTCTTTCCAGTTATGCTTCAGACTTTGAAACGGAAAGAAGGTTTAGGATCTCAGCTTCCTGAATAGTCCCGTGGTTAGGGTGACCAAACTCCCATTTTCCAGATAGAGTGCCGATTTACGCCCGATGCCCTGGCATCCCATCAGATTAGCACTCCATTTCACTCTCAAAAGTGTCTGAGTTTGGATGGTGAATGTTATGATTTCCCTACCCAAAATGCTATTTCAACAAGAGCAGTGGCGAGAGAAGTTGCTGAGCTTTGAAGTCTTCCTTTCCAGGAGGACAGGGAGAAATCCTATTTCCTGTGTTCTTTAAAGTAGAGGACTAAGGGGCTACAACAACCATGATCATATCTTCTACCATATATGGAGCATTTAATATGAGCAATGATCTGTACTACGTCTGCTGCATCCATTTTCTTTCAACTCTCTGAGGTAGGTATTTCATTTTCATTTATCGGGTAAGAAAATTAAACTGAGGATATAGAACAGTATATGGTAGTAGTCAGGATTTGAACCCACAGCAGTCTGCCACCATGGTCTGTGCTCTGCTGTGCTGTACTATTTTTCCCTACATCCTGTACATGGAGTGAAGAGTTCACAAAGTGGGCACTGTAAAGGTTTCCCTGAGCCTGGGGAAGCATTTTCTAAAGCAAAGCCAAGAAGTGGACCTAATTCTTGAGACATATATCCTCTTTGTTTTGTTCTATAATTTATGGTAAAATAAAAAATGTGGCTCAAATGTCCCTCTGTGGTGGTATCTCCGAGGGAGAGCTGGCACGGAGCTGCCTTTCCCCGGCCTTCCACTGATCTTCACCCCTGAGGCATCGGCCATGAGGAAACGAAGAGGCCAACAGAGCACACCCACTGTTTCATCACCTCAGCCCACCCTTCATTTGCAGCTGCACCACTCTCCCTGGGGGCCAGTGAACTTTGTTTTCCTCTCTGTCTGAGTGGCAATCCAACCATGTGAAAGAGAAATAGGAGAAAAGAAGCGTGTGTGTTTTAAAAAAGCAACAATCATTTAGTTTTGTGGGGTGAATTGATTTACCTCTCATGGCTCCTTTTAGGATTTTAGACCTAGAGAAAGAAAGATTTTGGTGACACAAAATGGCTTTGAGGTAACTATTCAAATCTAACTTCTGCCAAAAAAGAGGAAAAAAAAGAGATTTGGAATGGAAAATCTTTTAGGTGTCTATTTCTTTTGTAAATCAAACTTTGGAAACACCATAGGGCTGTGGGTTTAGAAACAGTTCAGAAGTTCTAGGAAACACCCATTGATAACAATGAGAAATATTCCATGTGTTTACTGGACAATTTCTACCATTGGATCATTAAGGCATGCTTTAACTATGAGGTCACTGATGTTGTAAGTCTAGAATTCAGGGGGTGATCTGTTCCTTAAAGGAGTTCTGACATGTCTTTGCCCAAGACTTTCAGATGCTATGGATTGATGCCACTCAGAGTTCTTAACTCAGGGATATAAATCAGGTTGTAGCATGAATAAGGTGCGTTAGAAGTCTAACTTTCTGACATAAGGTAAGAGGGAAATGAGATTATTTAAACAGCCTGTGTTTACGCGGTGGCCATCTTTTAATGAAAATTCTTCTCAATCCATTAAAAAATACTATTAAATTATCAAATGTAGTTTTGTCCTCTGAAAGACAAAAGGGTAGTGTTTAGGCTATCTGAAGAATCCATTCGACTGACAGATGCAAACAAATGCGGTTTTGTTGTCATCTCTGGATCCTTCTGAAAGCCCTGTGTACAGAGTTCAAACAGAGAGCCCCAAGAGGGTGGTCAGGAGGGAGAACGGGCTCCCCACTGTGCCAGCTCATTTACCATCACCACCCTGGGCTGAGAAGCAGGGCTCGGGGTGCTGTTCCCAGATTACCTCACCCTGTCCACGTGATCTTGTATGCCAGGCTACATTCTTCTACTCTGCAATTGGTTTTTACATAAAACAGTTGAATAATGAAACTTAGAACCAGCCTGAGAGGAAAAAATATAAAAACATCTGCCTTTTTTCCTTTTTGACATTATTCTGAAGATGCAATCAAACATAATTTAGCTTTCCATGCAGTGATTACACTTTAAAAGTTGTGCCAATCATCCAGGTAGAGCTCAACACAGAATAGGAGGCTGCAGATGCAATCTATGGAGAACACTTAGCAAAGAATGTTTTTTCTTTTTTTCCACAATTTAACATCCACTAAACTGGATAATGAGCAAGTAATATGTATGAAAAACATATAATTGAATATATATGTATGTATGTATATTTAGAGGCCAGTATATTTTGTTTCTTTGTATTAGTTATACCTTGAGTCTATCTTATGAATAAGTCAGGTGGGACATAATCTATGATTCTTTTTACAAGAATCTACTATAAACTCTAGCATTCATTTACAATTTATGTGCCATAAAAAAGAGGGTATCATATGACTAAAGGTAACCATCCAATCCTCAGTCATTAACATTAGGCAGCATTTGGATGACAAGAGGAAATTAGAAGGTAAGGACTTTCTAAACTGCCAGAAGATTAAATGAATGGACGACATGACTGAATAATACAGCTGACATTATCAAGCACTGTTTTATCATGAACGTCCTTTACAATTCAATACACACCTCTTAATAAGAATAAAATGAATCTTTTGGAGAATTTCAGGATACACCCACTGTATGAAATGAGAAACACCAGCTTGTGTCCGGTGACACTTTTGCCCTTTTGAAGTGATGGGGTTGACATTTTCCAGCACTAATGCTATATTTATTCACGTCTTGGGTTATCATTTCATTGATCATTATTCAGTTCTGTGAATGATCACTATGTTCTTGAAAGACATTTTACCTTGCTTGTTGCCTCTTAAATAGAAATTTAAAAAAATTAGAATATAAGACATCATGACATCAATACATAGGAAAATAATGAGACTTTATACCATAGAAAAAGTAGGTAGCTGATAGATTTATTTCTCTCTGAAATATATTTTTCTAGCAGAGTAAAATCTGCAAATAATAAGGTTGGAAAAGAAAATACATACCAGTGAAGAGAAATTATAAAATTTGTTTACTATTTTGACAATAGCTTTTTTCCCACAAAAACTTTGGTTACCATTTTGATTTCAACATATTTTCTGGACTTGAGGGAGAAAATACTTCTACTTCAGAGCAAAATTTCTGCTTGTATACATCCAAGTTGATATGAGGATATGTAGGTAGAATATAGATACAGTGATATGGAAGCTAGCCCGCTAATGATTTTCTGAATATGATTCATGTTTACATTGTAATTTACATCAAACTATAATTCTGACATGATGCCATAGACTAACTCACAAGGTTCTAAATAATATATCTGGTCAAAGTAGCGCTGAATATTGTTGATTAACTGCTCACTAAAGCCAGAAGGTGTACGAACATATTCCAGAGCAAGTAAGCAATAGGATTGGCCCAGAAGTAACTACAAGAGCTCAAGAGCTGAAGTCTTAGCCTAGCCTCAATAATTCATGTGTTCTTCGGCTTTAAGTAAATTACCTATAGTGTGCCGATTATATGTATTACTTCCAGATTGACAATATCACAAACAACTTACATGAATGAGTGCCATTTGGTAAATTAAGCTGGCAAATGCAAATAGCAATTTCACTATAAAGACAAAAAACTGGCTTCCTTTGGCAAGACTATGATCAGGAATTTTTATTGTGACCATTGCAAATAAACTCTATTTAGACTTTTGTGATAGCGATTTTGTTTTTACTTCAAATCTAGTGGAAATCGGTTATCATGACAGCATTCTTTCTTTCCACTACTATAACCATAATTTTTACTACAAATTACTTTTATCTGCTCACCAGATATCTTGAAAAGATTTTAACATGATCTCTGAGTATGACATTTTGAACACTGGAAGTGTTCATATTTACATAGACATTTAAAGAAATAAAGTAAAAATTAGCAGCCTATTACATCTTAATGGTCATTCTACTCTAGGAATCTAAAACTTTGAGTAATCAAAATGCAACAAATAGAGCTGCCATTAAGATTTGATTAAAATAAACAAGCAAACACAAATAGTCCAGGTTATTTCCTAGCTTCAGCATATTTTAGCCCAAAGCTCATAGCTGTGTCCACATACCTTGTACGAGGAGGCATAGGAGTCAGCATTACAATATGCAGTACAGCACTTCCCCATCATCAAGATGAAATCATATCTCCCATACGCTATCTACCAATGTAAGAAAATAAAGAGGACATTTTAAGTGCTTTTAGAAAAGAAAGCTGAAATCAAACTCTTTTTAGTATCTACCTGATTTTGTGAAACCCCAGATAACTGTGGTTTAATTTAGCACAATACCTGGCTATACTGAGAACTCGATAAATGGTTTCGAATAGATGGATGTCATCTGGCATTCCCTTAACAGGAAAGTGATATATTTCAGATGATCACTAAAAGTGCATGTGGTAATATAAATCCCTAGTACTTATGCTAGCCAAGGATTACTACATAAGCAAGAGACTACCCAGTAAGTGCCGCTCCACGCTCATAAAGTCAGCGTGATTTATTTAACACTGCCCGGACCGGACCAACTACTGATCACTTCCCCCAGTATATTATACACGGTGGGACTACAGCAGGGACTTGGCATCTAATTTATAAAGACTGGAGCATCTTTTTTTAAATGCAGGTTTATGATTCACAATGAATGCCAACTGAGTTCATTTTTGCCTAAGAAGATCTGCATCTTTCTACCTCAGGACTCTTGCATTACATTATCTAAAACAGTAAGACAAGGAGGAGAGAGGTGTTAGAAAAGAGGGAAATTCCTTTCTTGCATCTACTATATTTTAGTCAATGAAGTGATGAGAGAAGGTGAAAAAAGATTAGGACTGTGGGACTCACGGATCCCCAGGACAGACTATGGACAAGAAAACTTGTGTTTCAGCAGGGAGTGATATGGGCTAGATCGTATCCAGTACTATGAACGAGATAAAATTCCACAGTCTTGAGTGTTTAGAAAAATCCTTCCTCTTTACTTAATTTTTCCCTCACTTTACCCTTGGATGAGCCTCTATTAGCAAGTCAAGAAGGATGAAGATCATGGGGGATTTGTAGAAATGCTGTTCAGAAGGCAATACTGCACCTTGGAGAGTGGGCATGTTGAATCTCTGTGGGAAGAGTACATAATCCACACCTCTGAAGGGAAAAGCAGTACGTAGTGGCTGTAGCAGACCAATTTGGAATATCAGCAAATTAACTTTTCCCCTAGGCTACGGAGTAAATTTTTCCTACGGGCTAGGAAAGTGGTGGAGTGGTTAAAAAAGGGCCTGAAATGTGGCCAAAAGGAGGTCCCATGGGCCTCATTAAAACAAGGGAAGGGTAAGGAGCTTTTGAGGAAGTGAAGAAATAAGAGGAGCTGGGACTTCGTGTCTAATGAGTGAGAGACCAAGGGACCGGGAATTTGCAATCTGGATCAGTGCCTTCTTTTCTGGGTTGCTTTGGGGAACTCTTTTCATTTCTCTAGTCTCCTGGCACAAATTTGCCTCATGCGGCAGCTGTGAGAAACAGAATAAAAGCAAGCTTGAAGACTTTTACAAATATACAAAAATTACATAAACATGAAAGAGTAACAAGGACTGCTGGAACATATTGCATAAGTTATATCTGATTCATAAGACTTTCATTTGCTTTCACATGCATTTTGTTCCTTTTATATTCATAAATCAAATGATACTGAACTTGTATTACTTATCTAAAAGACTTTGAAAATCTTCTGAGATTGTTGCCACATTAAAAGCAAATTAAAGATTTACAACACAAGATAGTGTTCCTGATAGAATGGGGCCAGGGAGAGAAGCAATGAGACAGTATTGAGTTTTTGCCCAGCAATTCCTTGGCTCTTGAGAGTTCAAAAAATGATGTTAAAATTCAGTACTATTTCTTTTCTGCTTCTTTTATATTTTTACCCATATAAAGGTACTGGCTTATAGGGTATATGCTTGCAAAAAGAATTCCATATAGTGTCATCCATAATTCTCATATATGTCACTTATCTGATTTAAAGTAGAGTCAACTTAGAAACTACGGTGTTTCCCTAGAACACATGCATGTTAGTTTCCAGACTTTGACAGAGTGAGAGCCCAGTTAGAATCATTATGAAGCACTTGAATATTTACGTTAAGGCCAAGCCACAAATTGTCTCTGTCTAGAAATCTCTAACAAACGAGCTGGAAAATACAAAAACTGACTGGGAGCATTGCTTTCACTTCTACAGAAGACACCGTGTAAGAACAGCTTTTGCAGTTCTCTTAGTAGTTTAGTCGTGGAGGTTCAGGGCGTCCGTTGTAGTGAAAAGGGGTTCTTTCTTCTTAGCCTTCCTACTTCTGTTCTTCAGAGTCTCGATTCTCTAACGTGCCCCTTCTGCACACAGAATGGGTTAAGTTTTTCCAGATTTGACTCTGATTATGTGAGATTCCTGCAGAGTGTAACCAAAGTTAATTACCTTTATGCCTATTAGAACAGGTTCATTTCAACATAACTCTCAGTGAAAGAGAAAGGATCCATTCTGATTCATATTTAATACTTCAAACTTTGAAGTTGCTCAGAAGCAACTTTTTGCTCTGGAGGAAAAAATGGCTGGAAGAAAAGAGACTAGACTATTTATTAATGAATAAATGTATTAGTGCCATGTACAAAGGAGAAAAGACAAAGAGACATCCTTGGTTTAATTTCTGGAATAAATAAAAAGGAAAACATTGGAAGTGTGTGTGTGTGTGTGTGTGTGTGTGTGTGTGTGTTCAGGAACCAGAAAAGATGTATTCATCCAAACTCATTATCTTGTTAAACTGAAAGACTACTGTCTTAGAAATAGCTGAAAATTATGCAAAATAAATCTAGGCTGATTTACACTGTAATAAGGCCTTTATGGTCATTCAAAAAATTAATAGTTATACTTGGAAAAGTAAATGCCAAATTGATACTGCCTAGATTTAAGCAGAAAAGTACAGTGAAATATTAGAAAACATTTCCTCAATAAGGTGGTTTAATGATTCTGAAAACAGAGAATACTGATAAAGACTGAAGTAGGTTTATCCTATCTTCCTGTATGAGAACCAATTTTGTAATTATATTATTCCAAGTTTATTGATCCTTTGCTCCCATGAATTGTTTTCTGAGAGGGAACCTAAAGCAAGTTCAATCTAATAATTTACAAATAGGCAAACATATAATCAAAAGTGTAGACTTCTCAACATGGATTCAAATATAGGTGAGTCTGGATTCCAGATTTGCCATTCCCAAGTTGGGATATGTGTTGGACTAATCCATACTCTTTCTTCTAGTAATGACAATACTCAGCCTAGTGGTATATGGTAATACTTGCAAAGATGAGAAAGGAGAATGGGTGACATGTTTCTTATTATAGCTTCAAGGAGTGTCCCAGGAAAACTATATGTTCCTACTAACAGAAAATTCTTCCCCACACATTCCCAAATTGGAGAGTCCCTTGGAGCAACGGCTCCTCTTTGGATATAGAAGTGAGAACAACTTATTGTGCTGTAGATTTTGCCAGTATTTTCTCAAATACTGGAGGTTAAGCCCATTTATTGGTCCGTCACGCTTTGTTGCCTGTTCTTTAACCAGATTCATGTGTGGCTAAAGATCAGCCAGAGAGAATAGACTATTTGGGTGGTAGGGGTAAAGCTTGGGGTATTGAAAGAAGACAAGATCTGTTTAATTGACAGAATGAAAAGATTAGACAGTTTGATTTCCACCCTTAAACAAATCTCCTCCTGTTCATTCCTTTTTCTCCTCCTCTATCTTTGGTGTTATCACATCTGATTTCTGATGTTCCCTTAAATAGTCACAGCCTATCCATAGACAATACCAAGAGCCTGCT